TCTCCTCCTCCTCCTCCTTCTTTTTCTTCCTTTGTAATGATCTTTTGCATTCTTCATGGATGATTTTCTTGATATCCTCCCAGAGCTCATTTGGTCTAGGCTCATTGGTGCTCAAGGCCTCAAACCTGTTCCTGAGATGGTTTTGAAATTTGAATAGGACAGACATAACGTCAAATTTTTGTTCCCTTGGACTTGATTTAATTTTCTTCAACTTCAGCTTGAACTTGCATATGAGTAGTTTGTGGTCTTTCCCACAATCAGTACTCGACCTGGTTTTCACTGCTCATATTGAGCTTCTCCAGTGAGTCTTTCCACAAGTGTAATCTATTTGATTCCTATGCATACCATTAGGTGAGATCCATGTGTATACCCAGAATTTATGTTTCTTATAAAAGGTGTTTGCAATGTGAAGAACTCTCTCATTCTATCTCCAGCCTCAATTCTCTCACTGAGCCGATGTTTTCCAGCTACTGATCCTTCTTGCCTCTTCCCAACTTTTGCGTTCCAGTCTCCCATTATTATCAATGCATCTTGATTGCATGTTTGATTAATTTCTGACTGCAAAAGTTGGTAGAAACCTTCCATTTCCTTCTCTTTGGCTCTAGTTGTTGGCGCATATATTTGAATGATAGTGGTATTCACTAGACTTCCTTGTATGAGTGTGGATATTATCTTGTGGCTCACCACATTGTCTTTCAGGATGGATATAGAAATAACGTTTTTAATTATGAAACCAACCCCATTTTTTCCTCACCTTTTCATCCCCAGCATAGTAAATTATATGATTGCCTGACTCAAAATGCCCCATGCTAAGCCATCTCATTTCGCCAATATCTAGTATGTCAATATTTATGTGTTCCATTTCTTTCTTAACAATGTCCAATTTTCCTATATTCATGCTTCTCACATTCCACATTCCAATCACTAGTGTTTCCTTTCAGCTGTTCCTCCTTCTCTGTGTCTCCATTTCTAAGATCTCAGTTTCAATTGCCATGTCTGCTAGTCCAAGTGATAGTCTAAGTGTGCTCTGTTGTACATAGGGTCTTCTAAGGCCTGTCATTTTGGAAGTGGATGGCCAATCCTTCCTCCTAGTCTGTCTCAATTTTAAAATATATATAATAGCATCTGACAGACAAGCATTCTACAGAAAGGAGAAGATGAAAGACATTTACCAGTTAGAAAAATGACCAATATTCAATGTTGCTGCCCATCCCGCTACATGTTTGGGGCTCATTTTAATGCTCAGTTTCTAGAATATATGTTTACTAAACTTTATGTACGAACAGTGCTCGGGCTGTTCGTTCATAGGGTCGCTATGAGTCATGTATGACTCGATGGCACTAAACAATAATAACAACGACAACGACAAAGCGAGAGCTACTTTGGCCTAATGGAAAGGAAGTTATGCTACCAAGCCGAAGGTGGGTGATTTTCATCGCGGGCCTCGGCCAGGTTCAAATTGTTTTCCTGTCAAACATTCT